GCCAGAAATACTGTTTGGAACACAGAGAATTCTCTATGGAGCCTTCCACATTGAATAGTAAATGTAGGGGGAAATTAGATCCACCCAATGAAAACAGAACCACTAAGGCACTTGACCCAGTAGGAATGAAGTTTGGATCATCCCATCCATAAAAGGAATCCTCAACTAACGGAAGTGCTGAATGAGGATAAACAAAACACAGAATACATAGTGGACAAGACAATAGGGCTTGCATAGGTGACTTTTGGCTTTGTAGGCAACTATAAAAATAAATTCAAGTTCACCCTCAAACATTTACTTTTTAATTTTTATTAGGATAGTATATAATAATTAGATTCATTCTAGGGAATTGGTACGTGTACATAACGCATCTCAATTCTTTATTTCTCTTTCCTTCTACCCCTCATGTATTTTGCCAACATCAGATTTATTTATCTTATGTCATTATAAAGTTAATTAGAGATCTATAGATTAACAACCAGACTAATAGGCCATAAAACACATGAGACAATAATCTAAATCAAGTTACAATTTCAGATACATTGTCCATGCTGGAAAACAATGAATTTCCTTGCTTCTTCTTTTATCCTATTATCTGTCTTTTACTTCACACTTTATATGTTGAGTTTTTCATATGTGGAAAATCATGCTGTATTTAATCTTGTGTGTTTGATTTACTTCACTTAAAATTTTTGTCTTCAGGTGCATCCATTTTCCAATAAATGACTCAAATCTATCTTCCTTTACTGCACAGTAGTACTTAATTTGTATAAATACAAATGTAATAATATAAATATATTAAAACTGGAGGAAATAGCATAGTGAATACAATATACCAATTACCCAGCTCACACAATATTTGGCCAATCTTTTCCATCTATACCTCCAAATATCTAACACTTCTTTCCAAAATTATTTTCATATATATATATGTATATATATAGTTATGTTATACATATATATGTATAAAATAACTTGTATTGAAATCTAAGGAATTCTAAAAGATTTATGGTCTTAAAAGCAACACCTTTGTTATTTCTAAAAAAACTAACACAAACTCCTCAAAACAACCAATATGATACAGTGTTCAAATTTCTAAGCACATAAAACTTTCAAGGTTACAGAATCTTCTTGTTCAGAGCATTTCCTTCTGAATAGAGTTACAAACATACCTTGTGTTAGTCATTTATTCAGTCAATATAGAAACTGTACTATCTATCATCTATCTATCATCTGTCTACCTATCTTCTATCTATCTATCTTTGGACTTTTTGTTTGGGAAAAAAATGGATTGTTTGTCCTAATGACATTCTTCACTTTGCGTTTTGCTAATTGCATCCTCATTGAATCCTTTAATATATTTTTTCTTTTCCCTGTATTTCTAATGAACTGGAATTTAGGTCCAGGCAGAGGCTGAGTTTTATTTGGGAATGAGAAGGTGGACTGTTTGAAAGGAAATGTTTCAAGTTTTTGACTACCATCTAGATGTCCAGAACGGCTGTTTCATTTTTCATGTGATAGTATCGATAATTGATGACCATTACCTAGATTCATTCATTAAATAGAGGTTTGAAAATTATGATATTGTCACTTTGCATTCCTTTTCATTAATTTGCAATACTTACATAAAAATGAGTTTTAATAACTAATGAATATATTGAATAGGAAAAGCATATAAATGCATAATTTTTCCCTAAGCACCACTAGTTACAAATGTATTGAAGTTGTTATTTAAAGTCATTCAAAGGTGACAGATCACGTGATTTTTATCATGATGTTATGAATTCATGGACTTTAATATTTTACATGTGTCCATAATTTATTGTTATTCACGCTCAAACTTTTCAATATTTCACTAGAAGAAGCCTGTTTGAGTTGGATCCTTAGTCCCACAGGCCCAATCTCTTCTTCAGAGATTCCTGGCTTTTTTCTTTGACACGGTACTCCAGATCCAAATCAGGGATCAGTCACATATCAGGAATCTATGACTTCTTTATTTATGTTACTTATAGATTAGAACTCACTGCTGGTTAATATGTTGCTACTTAGTTGGTCATTGTTTCTAGGCCTTTTCAATGGAGAAGGCTAGGAGAAAGATGCACATGTGCACGTGTGTGTATGTGTGTGTGTGTGTGTACACACCTACATGTATTTTTTTAGAATGAAAACCTCTTAGTTCAAATTCAGCACTACAGAGCTCTCATTAACCTCATTAACCTTCTGTCACAGTTGATATTGAAAGCCATGAACCTGGATGAGGTCATTAAGGGAGAGAGCAGAGAAGATATTCTGTGGAGACTGAACTGTGCGGGTTTCCAACAGTGATAACTAAGAGCCAGAGACCACTGAAGTGAAAAAGAAATTAAGGGAGTATATTGTTCCTAAACACAACAGGAGAAAATGGATCAATAAGAGCACAATTCTACTGAAAGAAAAATAAAATGAAGTCTGGCAAGTCATCGCTGGATTTATTAATGTGAACATCTTTGATGTTATTGATGAAAATAGTTGTGGTAGAGTGGTGGAGATAAAAGCTGATGGGAACTGATAGACAAAGCATTGGAAGAAAGTAATTTTAGGTGAGAATTACAGGCTTAAGCTTGGGTTTAGAAGCACGGGTTGCACCTCCCTCCCAGTAGGAAGATAGGTGAATTCCATATATGCAGAGTACGTGTGGCAATGACAGATAGTGATGTTTCTGGTTTTTTTTTTTTTTTTTCTGTTTTACCTTTGAACCCCTCAAATAAGATCATCAGCTCAAGATCTGGAAAAAGTAAATGTTAAAGATCTTAGAAGTTATTCGGGAGAGGGGGAAAATGATTGAGTCATTCAACGGTATGGTCCTAACAGTGCCTCTACTGTGTAGTGAGGTTAGTGGTCATGTATAAAATAAACCCTGAGGATATATCAGTGAGTTCTTCCCAAATCATTTAAAATCAGTGTGGATATAAACACAGCTTAGACAGAAAAGTTAACTTGAGCGACATTTACCAAGAAAGAACAGCAAAGAGAAGAACAAGAGGCTTGGAGCTACACAAAAGAGCCTGATTAAAATGATTGCCTGGTACAACTCTGGTAAGAAGGGAAATGAGAACATTCAGGTTGTAGACTGAATAATGACACCCCTTCCCCTAACACACTGTAGTTCTAATCCCTTGTACTTGTGAATGTGACCTTATTTGAAAGTAGGGTCTTCACAGTGTCATCAAGTTAAGAAGAGGTCATTGGAGTGGGCCCTAATCCAGTAGGCCTTAGCACTGGAGATAAAAACACAATGGAGAGGATGGCTGTGTGGAGGGAGAGACCGGAGTGATCCATCTATACGCCCAATAATGCCAAGGACTGTCAGCAAACACAGGAAGTAGCAGAGTCAAGGAAGGATTTAAAAGGAGTTTTAGAAGGAGTATGGCTCTACCTACACCTTAATTTTAGATGTAGTACCTCCAAAAATGTGAGACAATATAGTTTTCTGGTTTTAAGCCACCTATTTTGTTGCTACTGCCTTAAGAAACTCATTCATTTATATATCGTCTAAGGTTCAAATCCCACCACAATGGCAGAGTCAAGAGGCTGTCACAGAAATTACATGGCCCCCGAAAGCTTCATAGGAGAAGTCTCTTGACCCCTAGTTTGGAGCAGGAAGGAGACGCCGAGGTAAGATACGATCCAGTGCAAGGCTGTGTACACAAAGCTCTGAATATCATGCAAAATAAAGATTAGGTACTTTTGCAACAGTAACATTAACTGGAGCCTCCAGAACCAGGGAAAATAGTCATGTTGGAGAGTGAATTTGAGCAAGAGGAGAATGGATGAAATCACTTTTACAAGGACAAATTATATGTCTTGGTTAGGAAAAACAGACCCTTTGCTCTTTTGACTTCTAAATACTATCTTCCATTTAATTCAGCAATGGCTACTATAGACATGCTGAGAAGTATATCACTTAGAGCTGTTTGTTCACTATTTCTGAAGGCAAACCCGTTTTGCTTGCTAAAATTAAATGCTGGGTCCTTAAGAGTTAATTGTACTTTAAGTACAATTGCTTCATTGTGCATTTTAAGAGAAGCCAAACTTTCCTTACTTCCTCTTTATTATTCTTTAGTAAAATATGCTAATAAAAATATAAATTAACTAACTTGATCATATGCAAGCTGAAATTACATAAGTACATGATACCTTCTGACTATTTACTGCTTGGTTATTGGCAATGTGCTTTTGAATACATGACATAATTTAATCCTTACAGCAGCCCTGTAAATATTTGTCTTCTTTTTCAAAGGAAAAATAAAATATTTGTCTTACAGAGAAAGAAACTGAGATTCAGTAAAACTAAGTGACCAAACCAGAGTCACAGCCATTTAAGGACAGGGTGAACCTTGGGTAATTCTTGTGTCAAATTCATGTATGGTAGGAACCAAATGCAAACTAATACTGCTTGAAATCTTCTAAAATTGTTCCTTGGAAAAGAATTTATTAGAATTTTAGAATTTCTCAGTGTAAGGAGTTCTCTTTCCCTTGGAATTAAGTAGAATAAACAGCCAAATGCCAAAACATCATTTTTTTTTTTTTTTTTCTAATTTCAAGGCTCATAGAAGTCGTGAATGTGACATCTGATCTGTCTCTTGGAGGATTAACGCCTTCTGTAGTAGCAAGCTCTGTAGAGCTCTGAACTTGACCTGATACCTGGTCTCCTTAGATTCTAGAATCCCAGTGGAAAAGGAAACTGTGCAGCAATTTTGCCAGAGGGCTTTTTACATAAAGAAAAACAAACAAACAAACAAAACACAAGGATCCCAGTGACGTCCGTAAGGAACGGCTGGCTGGCAGATTTCTTGGAAGGAAAAGGAGGGATCTTTGTTGCAAACTTCCGTCCTTCCTCTGGCTTCTGTTCCCTCACCCTGTGCCCCCTGTGGAGTTGTGTTTTCTGGGAATCAGCAAGTGAGATCACAAGTGGTCTTTTCTTTTTTCACTCTCTCCCATAAAGAAAGCTTTATCACGTGTGGCCTTAAACTTGCAGCAAATTGCAAAGAAATGCCTCAAAGGCTACAGCTCTCTCTGCGCCCTGGGAGCTGAGATGCACGTCAGTGGCCTTGCCAGCGTGGCCAATTCTCTGCAGACTGCCAGAAAAAAGAGGCCAGTTGGAAAGACGAAAGAGGAGAGATTTCCCGGGGTTGAGACCATGCCCTGCATCTTTTCTCTTCCCTAATCTGCTCTGTCTCTGTCTACCCTGGCTCTCCTGACCTGGCAGAACCGCCCAAAGTTGCTGTGGAATTTACCTCCATTTCCTCTTTCAGTCTGTGATGTGTGGTTCAGCCTCTTGTTGAGCTCATTGATAGGAACAGGCTGTCTTTGACCTCCACAGCCAGGTAAGATTTGGTTTTCATTTGAATTATGCCAGATTTTCCCAGGAGAGAAGCCAATAGGCATCTCATTTCTGCACTACTTGTGGTTTATCCCCAGCACTTCTCAACAGAAGCTGATAGGCCCCTTGTTAGTTTGGTGGAAGTAGGAGGAAGCCTGGTTGGAGAAGTCAAGAAGACCCAAGCTGGGGCTCAAATTTAGACTCTAATGCTTGCTGCTTAGATAGTTTGACAAGTTACTTAACTGCTTTGAGTCCTTTTGAATAAGGGATTATAGTGCTAAACTTGCTGGATTGATTTGGGGTTTACAAAAATATATATATGCATATCACCTGGCTTAAAAGTAGTATTTCCTAAATCTGAATCCCACACTAATAAATATTTGCAAGAGAGAAGGGTCACCTTTCTAAACTACACACATTCCTTTTAGTAATGACCATGCAATTATCAACTGTACCTTGTAAAAGGAGGGATCCTGGAGCTCCAGAGCCAGGCTGGTGCAGAGGGTCTTTCTCAGGCCAGATTCCAGAAGGGAGGGGAGAAGCTGCCTCCCCCACATTCCCTGTAGCTGTCCTTGGTGGTGGACTGCTGGAGTGGGTCTCAGTTATAAGGCTTCAGAGTATCTGTGTGCTCTGGCCTTCCTCAGTCACCTGAGGTCCCAATAACTCAGCAGATTGATTCTTAAACCCATGTGAACCAAGAATTCTTTTTTTTTTTTTCCCCCGAAGTAAAATAAAGTACAGCTGCTGAGCTTGCTTTATTTTGGCCTCCAGAATACGTTGTATATGAACTCAGGGTGTTGAATGAAAACTTTGCCATATGTATTTTCTTCAATGAATTTCATCAGGTGACCCGAGAGCAATGAAGGGTATGGCAGATATAAATCCTTCTAGATAACTGTGTTCTAGCCTTACCTGTGCAGGTGCAAATGCAGAGAGACTGTATGCCTAAGATCTTTCCATTTTTATTGAACTGCTTTCCCCCAGTATTCAAGGGTTGGAGAGGTTCATGGTCACAAGCTATAGCTTCTTGACACATTACTGCTCTTATAATGATTGGCACATTGGCCATTGCGATGACATTGTTCCCAGCAGAGCTCAAAGGGTCAATCTGGGTGCAATTTTGCCATAATACAACATTAACTAAGATCACTGTAGTGTTCTTCTGCTATCCCCTCTGGATTCCAGTTACAGTAATTTTTGTGTCAGCACTTCCAAATATAAGAAAACTTTTAATGTGCTTTCATATCTCAAGTTTTAAAATATTTTATCTTTTTTCTCTTTAACATTATAAGCCTTCTAGACTTAACCCTTTGGGCCTTTAAAAGATACATTTAGTTTAAGTGGTAGTATATTACTAACACTTGCTCTTTGAATTTGGGAAACCAGAAGAACTCCTAAAGCAGTATACCAGTTTGAATGAGATAGGGTAATCTCTGAAGGAGAATTACATTTTTAGCTGTAAACAATACATATTTTATATTGTAAAATCTTTCTGGTTTCTACATTTGTTCTTGGGAGTATTTTTTATCTTTCCTATCAAACTATTTTTCACATGAGAAATGCATGTTCATTGTAGACCAACCAGAAAATGTAGATATACAAACATTTTTTGAAAAAAAATCATATGCAGTGACACCAACCAGAAATGTGTTAATTTTCTGCTTATAAACTTTCTGAAACTTATTTTTAGTCATTTGGTTGTTTTGACTCTTTTCATTATAAGTCACGGGTCTCTGCAGTTCAATTACAGACTGTCAATACCTTCATGGAAAAGAAATCTACTTAACTTTGTATAACTCGGTGTTTTGCAAATCCCCTTTTTATTGTTCTCACAAAACAATATCCTGGAAAAGTAATCAGTCATTTGGTACATATCTGAAGTTAGTTATTTTATCAGATATTGTACAGATAAATCTCTATATTCTTAGTCTCTTGGAATTTGCTTTTATTATTAAATCAGGAATCAATGTTGAATCTAATTAAATGATGTTTTTCTACCTGACATCCTATCATTTTACACTTTTAAATTCTTCACGTGATTAGTAAATAAAATTTACTAGGTATTGTTAAAATTTTTAGGGTTACCCTAATTATAAAATACTCATTAATTAATTTGGATTTGCTAACATTTTCTTTGGGATTATCTAATCTCTGGACTTCTGAAGTGTTGCTTTTTTGTGATATCTGAATGCGATTTCATTATCAGCTTCAAAGTTAGCTTTGTTGTATGAATGCAAGTAATGTTCATATGTTTCCATTTATCTGGTTTCTTTCCTTGTAAGTCATCCCTTAGTAAAGCATTATTGATATATCCCCTGTCCTCCTGTCTTCCATGTCTTAGTTTATGGTATAGATTTACAGTAGTTTTGCTAATGTCTTCCTTGGCTATTTTCCTCTTCTCGTTTGTGTCAAAACAGGCAATTAATATAATTAATATTTGCTAGAAAGTTATTGGTTTTGTCATCATTATACAGTTAATTCTATATCTTGAAAGGAATTTTTGTTTGGATTCCTATTTTTAATTCATTGATGTTTTATCCATGTGTCTGTATCTTTTGATCTACCTTAACATTATCAGTTCTGTATTTTGTTTGCATTTTGGTTTTATATTTTTTTGTTTCACTCACTGTTGTTTCCTTTGCCTAGTTTTAAAAGTTAAAGTTATACATATTTATGAAATGAAACTCTATAAGTTTAATAATATGAATGTATTTTAAAACCAAGCCTTTACCCTAACCTTCCTCAACTCATCTTTTACGTCCTGAAAGAATCCCCTGAACTTTGAAGTTGTTTAGGTCTTCTGATGTTATCTTACATGTTTGAAATGAAATGTTTATTCATGTTTGAATAAAATACACTAGTATTGCTTAATTGTTTCAGCTTGTGATACAATCTGTCAATTCAAGCAAAGAAGGTGTAGTAAACAAACATAGATCAAGCATTGGATTAAGATTCCATGTAGATAAGCAGAACAAGCCTAAATTTTTACCACAATATATGAAATGTTACTCCAAATGTCACTTCATTACAGTACAAAAAGGGAAGATCTCTATTGATGTACAATTGCATCACTGAGTAATCATTAGGTATACCCAGAGGTTATTTTATTTTTTGTATCACTTGACATAGGTCAGCTTATCAAACAGGCACTGTGCCATCTGGAACCCTAAAGAGAAGGGGGAACAGGATGTGTAAACATTGATGTGACCAGGGAGAACTAGATACAGAGCATGGGATACTGTCCAGGGTCTGGTGCAGACAAAAGAGTGAGGGGAGGGTGGGAAATCCAGCGTGGGAATGGAGGGCATCTTTCTTACTTTAAAGCAGACCCAAACTGTACTTTCATCTGAATTAAATCTAAGCCGGAGGTACAAATCTTTCTTCTTTACAAAACTAAAGTAATACACAAATTTAACATCTTTACTACTGTATTAGTGTAAGCCTTGCTTGGTGTACTGGGGGAGTTAGGAGGTGATTTAGGAATCTATGATGGGTGACAACTTCCTGTATTTATGCTAAGAAGATAGATCTAAAGGCTTTGAAGTCTTAATTGTAATGAATCAATATTCAAATGGTTGAATTCCTCTTCTTTCTTTACTGCTTGCTCCTAATTTAATCAGGCAAGGCCACAAAATTAGCAAAATTCTGCCTCATTATTCATTCCAAAGGCAACATTTAAATTTATTCCTGCTAAAATGAGTCTTACAGTGGAGGGGTTGAGAAAGAATGCAGGCTGCAAATTCTGAAGAGCAGAATTAATCAAACATCCTGTTTGATTTTAATTGAAAACATTTGCCAATTCACCGTGGTAACAATAGGCAGCTTCACTAAATTCCTTCCATAGAACTGGAATATACTACAAAATAAAGTGTTCCTTGAAAAGTTGTATAGATCTGAATTCATTTATTTTTGTCTTTACAACTCTTGTAGAGCAGAGTGAAGGAACATTTTCATAATGGACACTTCATCCAAAGAAAATATCCAGTTTTTCTGCAAAAATTCAGTGCAACCTGTTGGAAGGCCTTCCTTTAAGACAGAATATCCCTCCTCAGAGGGAAAGCAGTCATGTTGTGGTGAACTAAAGGTAAAGCGATGAACTAATTAGGGTCGGTGCCCTTGTTTTACTATTCAGATCTTTCATAAAATGAAGTTCAAAATGAGAATTAGTTTCCTTGCTGAAATGTGAAAATTGCATGTGGTTTACTAAAACCATACCTGGTAATGGAAGCAAGCTCTGTCTGACCATGTGGCTTGAACTGTTTCTAGGCTTATTTCACTACCGCTCCTAAACAGGGAAGGGAGAGATAATAGGAACTAATGCTAAATTTCTATGGGCTAGGTATTGTGCTAAGTACAGAGGGAACATTTAATCCATGAAACTTCCATATCATTCTCATTTTATAAAAGAAAATTGTGGCTTTCATTGTTACCTAGTGAAGGACAAGTTTACTCTTTAAATCATGTTCTGTGTGACTAAAACCTTTCTTTACACTAAATATTTACTCAGCAGATGCTTGCATGTCTTATTTTGTGTACATGGTAGCCTGGCTGTCAATAGTTAACATACCATGGACCTACATCTACCAAATGCATAAGCCAGATATAAAAAATGTGTTTTCTACTGAGAAAGAATTTGAATATAAGCTTAACAAGCGCAAAGTTCAACTTGAAGAATAGTACTTCCAGTTTTTCAGTCTTTCATGTAGTACCCTGATAATTCCCATACTGTCACTGTAAAATAGTAATTATGACTGTTAGACTGTGATAGGGTGTCAGGTGTCTGGCTTATGGTTTTCATATGATTTATTTTCTTATCTATCAAAGTCTCTTTTCTCTCTGTTTCACCATATACTGTTCTTCCCTTTAAATCTAGACTCCTTTTTTTCCTTTTCCCTTCCTCTTTCCCCCTCATCCCTTCCTAGTTCCCTTTTCTTTTGAACAATTTCTTTCCATTTCACAATACCAATTGTACACTTTGGTCCTTGTTTACCATAAAAAATAATAAAAGAAGGGTAACATGGAAGCAAGTCTTTGTAACTAAAGAGGGAAAAAAGAGTTGAAGGGAGGAGAGGAGATTGAAAAACAATGAAGCAAGATATACCATGTGTGGGTACAAATTCCCTGTGATGAATGTGACCACTGTGTGTATCTAAACTGTGCCAAAAAACTTAATAAAAAAAGAGAAAGCCATCACCCACACACTCTTGATGGCACTGGGAACAGTAAAGTGCCAAAATATGTGGGCAGTGATGACTGATTTAGTATATATTCAGGAGAGTTAGACTCTAAATGCAAACAAGTCTCAGGAATATATTGACAAATTTATTGTTTATATTTTCTTTACATGTGTGGACTGAGTGGTTTAGGATTACAATATGCTCAGGTCCAAAAGCCAGTAAGTAGAAAGTAAAAATTCTAGGTAATAATGTTGTTTACTACCTAATAATATTTAATTGATAGCATTTCTTTCTCTTTATCATGAAGTAATGATGCACCTTACAAATGATGGTATCTCAGAGCTGATGAAATGCAAGAGTCTCCCTCAGCTGCTATGAAGTTGCTTCATTTTTATTTTGCTTTCTATATTATATTTTAGGTGATTGGCCCTCGATTAATGGGCATTTAGGTCATTCTGATTTTTCACTAATGTAATCAATTCCATCACAAATGTTCTCATGCATACTCCTTTGCACACGTGTGTGATTTTTCTCTTTAGGATACTAAAACTAACTTCTGATAAAAAAATAAATCTAGACTCCTTTGAATGTTTTTTGGAGAAAAGAGAAGAAAGGGAAAGATGAAACTTAATGTACATTTTGAAAGAAAATCAACATACATTTAAAATTCTAAGACTATATACATTTCTTGGAAATCCACATGAGGTTGAATTTGAAGGAAATCTATGGCAGTACTTGAATTAAATCTTCAGTGATAACAGACTTGTTCTCCATTGCTTTTAGTTTATGCTTTTGTCTGTGTGCTCAGTCCTTTCCTAAGTTGTGTCAAGCTGTAGTCAGACTAGGTGTGACCTGTCATATTTTCTAGGTGTTCTTGGGTGGCTTGTCCTTTGTTTACTTTGCCAAAGCATTGGCAGAAGGCTATCTGAAGAGCACCATCACTCAGATAGAGAGAAGGTTTGACATCTCTTCCTCACTGGTAGGAGTAATTGATGGGAGTTTTGAAATTGGTAAGTACTTCAAATGCCTAACTTTCTATTTAAGCTCAAGGTCCTCTTAGGAATAACTACATAATATTGCTTTCCATTCTGTTGTCTGCTGTGATCTTACTTGTTAAATATTTGGACAGAATTTGCCATGACCGTATGCTACAGAGAAGGCAATTTTCTGTCTCAGAATAACTAACAATAAATATTCTGCCCTGGCATCACTATTGTATGACTCATACTATTTGGAGTTTCCAATGAGAATGAGAGAATTTTCTAGATGGGAGAAGGAGATATCATTGATATCTCCTACCATTATCATGTAATGTGCGTATTAGAGGAAACTTGAGATCTCCCCAAAGAATTTTTCAGAACAAAGCCTTTTCCCAAAAATGACAATACTAAAAAACTAAAGCCTTCCCATATCATGATTTCCTAATATTTTCCAGATATTCTTTATTTCAAGTATTTCTCCATGTACTTTTTTTTTTTAACCAAGAATTGTATCCATGACCTTGAACTTGCCAGGCAGGCACTGTGCCACTGAGCTATCCCCCCAATCCTCCATGTACTTTTAATAATTTTAAATATTTAATAATTTTGGTTTTTGGCAGAACAATCACCTTGGTAATTGATGTTTTCAGTGATAAGTATGTGGCAAAGTGTCTTTATAAAAGACCAAGAGATTGTAGGAGTCTTCTGTTCAATTTTAGAAATCTGGAGAATTTGAGTTTGCTCTCCAAAAATTTATTATAATGAGTTCATAGGTTAAGCTATGAAAGGCATTTTCTGTCCAGTGACCTAGAAGAAAAGGGATTCTACGAACAAGAGCACAGGAATCTTGTATTAGTAATTGATAATAGACTGTCTCTTAACAACCTGAAAAGATCAAATGATTTTCATCATTGTTATGGACATTTTCAAAGAGTTTAATCCCAATTAATCTGCTTCCTGAATTGATTGATGGAGAAGCTTTAATTCTTTTTGTCAAGGTAAACAAAATAGTGTTTTCTGTGGCCCTTAATGCAATTTGGAATTCAAATCTATGCCATATTAAAATCTCACTGCTTCAATTTCAGCTTTAACATGAACTTTCAGAAGATTAAAGGAATATTTTTCAACTCTTTAACAACTTTTCTTAGTTTACAGTGTTGATATTAGTTGTTCCTCTGAATATTACAGAAAGAACTAACAGAATGAATAAATAATCTTTTACCTTAGGCCTTTTGCTTCCAAAATCCATATTTTATTCTACCAGAAAAAAATTTCTGTGTTCTGTGCCAGTCAGAACTTAATGTTTGTGTCAGTGACTGGGCAGTCTTGTTAAAATGTAGGTGTTGATTCTGTAGGGAGAGGAAAGTGTCTGTATTCTCCTATGCTCCAGCTGATGCTAATGGTGTCAGCCAGTGACTACTCCATTGTAAACATCTTATCACATCACCCCATACATAATCTCCTTAGAAGGCCTGGACACCTAATTTATTCCCTGATACCTACTGTGCTAATGGTCCTGACCTGAACAGACATATAAAGTCAAGGTCAGGGCAATGGACTGCACCAGGGGAAGGAAGAAGTCTGCAATAACAGCAGCTATTGTATACTGCATGAAGCAGGCTTACCGAAAGAAGCAGATATGAGTAGATAAGTGTTATGCACTTATTGATGCTTTGATTTGCCTCTCTGTCTAGATTATTGTATTATAATATTTTAGAGCTGAAGATGCCTAGAAATTACCTAGTCCAAAATTTTTCCCAGATTCTCAAGTCATATAGGATCTGAGAGAGAGACAGACAGAGACCGAGAGACAGAGAGACAGAGACAGAGAGATGGAGAGAAAGAGAGACAGAGACAGAGACAGAGACAGAGAGACAGAGAGACAGAGACAGAGACAGAGTAAGAGAGAGACAATCTGAATTTGGTACAGGACACTAAATTTTCATAGGATGTGGAAAGGACTCTGACCCCAAATTCATATTAATTCTCCTTAACTGTTCTAAGGATAGAAATTATCTACTGAGTTCTACACTTAAAATGGTTTGAAGTTCTATTGCTTTCACTGACAGCCTTTATCTTAAATTTCACAGGTTTGTTCCTGTTATTTGCCATGCACAGATTTCCAGGCAAAAGAGTTTTCTCTTTTGCTTCTTTCTATATTCCTTCCTTCCATGATTCCGGAACCATTGGCGTCCTTTACCTCTGACTCAGAACTGTCCTTGTTTGTAGAATAATGTCTTTTCCTCTAAGATGTCTCTGATAGTATCATCTAATATCCACACACAGTCAACTGAAGTTCTCGCCCAACAATATTTTTTTTATAACACAGATGTTTTCCAAAGCTGACATTCACCAAGAACATAAAAGGCTTTCCATATCATGAGTTCCTAATATTTTCCAGATATTCTTTTTTTTCAAATATTTCTCTATGTGCTTTCTTTTAAACATTTAATAATTTTGCTTTTTGGCAAGATAGAGAATCGCATTATCTGAAAGCGTAGACAGATTGATACTTTTCTTTCCAATTCTTCAATCTGTTATTTTTCATCTCTACCCAATCTCATTGACCTCAGTACTGTATTAAAAGCAGCAGTCACAGTAGACGTTATTCTCTTGTAGCTGACTTAATACGATGGGTTTTATAATTTTACTCTTCAGCTTTATACTTGCTGCATGGTTTGTACAGATACTTTTTTTCCTTCCCTTTCTATTGGTATGTTTGTGATGTTTAATAAATTCATTTATCATGGGAAAATAGTACATAACCGTATCATGTCTTCATTCTTTTACTTCACTTTCTTCTCCCTTCCCTCGTCCCCTCTCATCCCCAGGTTCCCTTTTAAAAGTTGGCTTGCTTAGATTTGCTCAGATTTTTCTCATCATAAATGAGTGATTATAGAGTGTTGTTACTACTTTTGTTATGACAAACATGGAATTCTTTTTCTTTTATTATATAATGATTTAATCAGTGGATTTTTTTTTAAAAATTTGGTCATACTCTTGCCCTCCTGGAATAAACTATACTTGTTGCTTTGTTTGTTTGTTTGTTTGTTTGTTTATTTATTTATTTATTGTACTGAAGTTTGAACCTAGTATCTTGCACTGAGATATATATATCCCTAGATTTTTTCTTTTTCTTTTTCTTTTTTTTTTTTTGGAGACATGGTCTTGCTAAATTGTCCAGGCTGGGTTCGAACCTGAAGTGTTCCAACTGCAGCCTCCCAGAGGACTGAGATTATACATATGTGCCACCACTGGCCAGATACTTTTATTTGTGTGTACTTGGCTACCCTGTTTGCTAATATATTTTGCTTAGGATCTTTATCTTCACAGTTTAGCTTGGACTCTAATTACAGTTTCTTGCATTGCTGTTGTCCAGATTTGCTTTCAAGGATTTTATTAGATGACTTTAGCTTTCTTTTCTACCATGTGAAAATTTGAATTTGTGCACAGAGTGATAAAGAGGAAGAATTCATTACAGTTTGGTAAAACACTTTGGAGCTGCTCTTCTTTTTAGAGGCTAGCGATGGTAGGTGTGTGTAGGCATTTTGAAATTTACTTCAACTGTTTTAAAGATTATTAATTGCCATTTATTATCCAAGTATATTTCCTTAGAATTCACAAAGAATACTAAGTAAAAGAAGCAAACATTGATATAGGTGTCAGAGACACTGAAGTGGTATCATCTTGTACTTGGCATTGCCAAGAATATAATACAGAAACAACCTGTAAACCTGAGACCTTACTCTGGCCTGTTGGCGACGGCCAGGTGAGGATGACAGGGAATAGCCTATAAACAGAAAATCAGTTTTCATTTTACGTTGGTTTATTTACTGTGGCACCTTAGCAAACATATCAACATAATTATCAGCATAATGTGATTTCAAATGTCTTCTACTGAATGTTTCACATCCAGTTAGAAATCTCATGCTTAATTTTTTGTTGAAGATGTGAACATGATGAAGAATTTAGTTCTTCCTGAAGCCATAAAGCCTGCAGCCACTGTACAGACAGCCTTTCTCACCATCATTATTACTGTCCTCAAGGCTATAAAATTTTCTGCTCACTTTCTAATTGACTGAAGCTGGCAGTGTGACAAACAGTAAATTAGACAATTGCTTACAGATGGAGGGAAGCATGTTCTTCTGCAAAATTGGAAACATCAAGGACTTCAAAGTGAGGCCAGTCACCAACTATCCCTATCAGTTGGAGGGGGAAGTGTTCAGTCCTTTATCCCTGAAGTTTTTCAAAATTAAACAGCTCAAATGAAAATAGCTAAAACTTTAAAGCCCTTTAAAAGTTAAGACCCCTGAACAATGTTTATCAAAGCTGGTTACTGGACTCATTCCCATCAATACACTTGAGCTCCTATTAGAAACGCAGATTTCTTGGCTTCCCCCAGCTCCCCAGAATCAGAAACTGTCTGGATTTGCCAAGTATTTGCAGTTTTACTAAGTTTCCATTTCCCTTACCAGCCCCCTTTCTGTACTTCTTATACAGAACAAAGCATGAGAAATTTTCCTGAGAGCACGTTTAATTGTCACAATTACCAATTAAAAGCTAATTTTTCATGCACTTCACTAGAGACATTTTAGAAAGTATAATTCCAACCTTTACAAATCTCATGCTTTATTGTTTTCTTAAGAGAAAATAGATGGGCATATTTTCTAAAAATTTTATATTTTATAAAATTTGTGTTATTGGTGGACATTACATTATAGAATTCATGTAAATCTGAAGTTGTTTATATGAAATAATTTCATTTTATTTTTTAAATTTTATTTTAAAGAGAATAGTAAAGGAGAAACAAACAAACAAAGAAATAGAGCAGTAGCAGCATACCCGTATCACAAACATAAACAAATAAGAGCAAGAACATTCAAAGTGATACAGGGTCCAAAGACAAAATAATACCAATCAACAGTGGTTGTTATATTACATATCACTATCCTCAACTATGTTGCTCAGATTACCAGATGTAAGAATGGAAGATTGTCAAACCATTAAAGAGAATAAGAAAATAACTATTAGATAAAACATTAGAGATAATACAGAGTTTCACTGGACAAGATGGTAAGAACTCACCATGGTAATTCCATTGTCTACTGTTACCTTCAAATCAGTCGCTCAGATTACCAGATATAAGCATGCAAAACTGATCAGAATATAAAAAATTTTAAGCATTAATTGTTCCTTTCAATATACCATCAGACATCAGCAATACAGTTATTACAGCTATTATATGAAGTAATTTTAGTCATCTATATGAAGTAATTTTCATTTCTATTTTGAGCCCTCTGCTTTTGTAAAAAGTATATACACAAAATATAAATTATCATTTATATGAATATGATTCTCATTATTTGATTTCATAAAATCAAAGTGAGGTACAGATTTATTTGTTTTGCTTTTTCTATACAGAATATAAGCTAGATAGGTAATATTTACTATATACTATAAGGGCAGTTGAGACACTAATAGATGATTCAATAGAAAATTTAAATGAGTAAAGAAAGAGTACTAAAGTTGGATTCAAAAATCACTGAGGAAAATTGAAGTGGGTAACTAAAGGAAAACTTCTATAATTTTATTTACTGATAAAATACTTAATAGGGATAAATAATTGGGTTGGGTGGAATGAATACCTGGGAGAGTAGAATATTTTGATAAAAGGATGGGGTGATTGAGGTGATGAATATGAAGAAAATTTCAACAATCCTTTTAGATTAAACTATGGAAAGGTATGTGGTAAGGAGCAGGTGAGGAGATGGTTTAGTCAAAATAAAAACATGGCTGAATCTGCTGTGTACATTATTTTACGTAGTTATACTGCTGAGTATATCCTCAGTTCCTTGACTTACTAGTCCTTTATTCTTTCCACCAAAGGGAATCTCTTGGTTATAACCTTTGTTAGCTACTTTGGAGCCAAACTTCACAGGCCAAGAATAATCGGAGCAGGGTGCCTTATCATGGGAATGGGGACTCTACTCATCGCCATGCCTCAGTTCTTCATGGAGCAGTAAGTCTACGGCAGCCATTTTCTTCCAGCCTTTTCCAGTGACTTTATTTCTCCCTTCCATAGTTGCAACTGACTATTTAAATTGATGTTTAAAACATGATGATTTTATATCTTATTTTCACTTCTTACATCTTTGGAGAAAGTTTCAGAACAGTTCATAACAACACTAATGACAATAATCTGTAAGACATATTGACATACTACATACTACTGTATATTGATGTCATGATTAAAGAGAAAATTTTGCTGATATACTATGAGTCAAATGCTTTCATTTGGCTGTACAAGCACTGTATATAAATTTAAAAAATTAACAACATGTAGCAAATGTCCAATGGGTCATGAATGAATGTTACAGAGAATAAATACTGGATCATGTTACTTAATATTTATAAGCATTAGTTTTGGAATATTAAAAATAATACTTAGTTAATAATATTGTTGATATTTCAAATGACACAGGTAAAATGCTCATCAAAATTCTTAACATAAGTAGTAACTTTGTTATTATTTTTGTGTTTTTATTATTTTGTTGTTATCAATCTTCCTTAGTAAATTAAGCCCCCTACTTTTTTTTTTGAGACAAAGTCTTGCTATGTAGGTCAGACTGGCCATGAAATGACTATGTAGCCCAGGCTGGCCCTGAACTCCCAGCAAATCCTCATGTCTCTGCCTCCCATGTTCCACTGGGATTGCAAGGTTGCACCACCGTGCCCAGCCATGATACCTAGTTTTGAGCTGTAATGAAAAATGCTTTTGTCATAAAGGTGTTATTTATAAGTTGAAGGATATGTTTATTTATTCATTATCTAATGTCTGCCACTTACAAGGTGCTATTGCAGGTAATGGAGCTGTTCAATGAGAAAACAAAATACAAAGAAACACACCCAGTACTTTTTCTCATGAAGTTTGCTCTCTATCAAGGTTTAATACAAGAACTTTTCAACTTTTTGTAGAATAAGTCAAAACAAGGGTATGCATTGTTATTCTCTGAAAGACTATTATACTCTGCCTAGCAGAAATACCCTTGATATCTAACAAAATCTAGTAACCATGGATATTAGTCGTTAATGGCCTATTACCAACAGGCTGTTAGGTTTCTTGTGTCTTAGCTCATCTAATTTATGAATTTACCACATCTTTGTTCTAGGTTAGGATAATGGGAGAAAAACCTGTGCCCTCATGGAAATTATGAGGAAGAGACAGAAAGTAAATAATGACATAGTGTGTGTGATCATGATAACTATAGAGAAAAATCACCCACTGAGGACACATAAGGAGTGGGTTTATGTGTAGGGAAATACATTTTAGAGTTTTAAGGAGGTGGTAGTCTTTGAGGAAGACCTGAAAAAAGGTCCATGTAGATATCTGGAGAAGATTGCTTCTGTCCTACCTGAAGCGGGAGTGCAGTGTTCCTGCAACAGAAGAGTCTGGAGTGTGGATGAGCTGAGGAGGACTGAGGAGACTCAGGTGGAAACAGCAAGGAGAAAGCACAAGAGATGAAACTTAGAACTTGGTAGGAAATGGAGGGTGTGTTTAGGTTAATTCTCAAACTTTGATGGACATTTGAGTGCCCTGAGGCTCTCAGTCAAACATAGATGATGATTCAGTACCTCCTGGTTTAGGGCTGAGACATTCTAATCTGGTTGGTTCTCAGATCATTCTTTGAGTACTAGGCTGGCAATAACTTGAGGAGCTTAGTTAGGTTCTCCTCCTAACTAAGGCAAACCATTGTAGAGTCAGGAGCAATGTGAGATTAAACATCCTGTATTATTTTAAAGATTGACTCTGTTGGGACAAGCTGGCAAAATGGAAAGTAGGAATCTACTGTAGAATTTCATGCATTATAGTCAAGATTGCACACATTAGAATTTGAATACGTCAGAATTAAAGCCCCTAAATTAATGACACCATTAGTTCCCCATTCAATCACTTATTTTTCTCTATACCACATATATAGCTCTCATTTTACAGCTAAGAATATTAAACCTAAAGGGGTTAATTTTTCTGAGAGAGTCATCACAGGAAGTGGCAGAAGAGGCACTTGCATTAAGATCCTCTTTATTCAAAACCTAAGCAATTATGTTTGCCACAGTTACCTTTTGACAGAAGTAATTGAGAAAGTTCAAATAATTAAATAATTTAAAAGTACCTCATAATCACTGTCAATGCTCACTTTAACTGTCTCGGTAGTAATTTATGAAATTATATTTACTGTGATTTCAATATTAAATGTCTCCTGTATAGTTGGGAACTGAAACCAGTTAACCTCAGTCAATAACTCTTAACCTATTTTGGTCAAAGATCCATTTGATAAAATGCTGAAAACTGAGACATTCTTCCTTTGAGAGATTTACATGAAAACACACCTGCAAAATGTTTTCACTTTTTCAGTGGGGTTCATGGACCCACTGAATAGTAGTTCATGCAAAATAGATGTGAAGTACTCACTTAGCAACTTGTATATTTTAACTCAGTATAGCTTTTTCCTTTCCATGATGAAATAATCAGGTCTTTACCATTAATATTTCAACTGTATTACTGTGATTACTAGCCTCTAGTAATAGTCACTAGCCTCTAGTGACATAGTATTTACACAAAATAAGAAGATACTTTGTGGTATATTTTTTTACTATGGTACTTCTTCCCTGAAGGGTAAAAATGAATCAGAGATCTTGGCTCATAAGAGACTGTCTTAGTTACTTTACTCTCACTGCTGTGACAAATACCCGATGCTCCAAATTAAAGAAGGGAAGGTTTATTTAGCTCACAGTTTGTTGAAGTTTCATCCAATAATCAGCTGGCTCCAAGGCAGGGTGGCATGGCACAGGAGCAACCATTCATGGCAGCAGAAGACAGCAAAAAGCAAGAAGAGCAAAAGGGAGAGAACAAGCCTTTTTTTCTCCTCCATTATATTGTAAATAGGCTACCTGCCCTCAGGTGGGTATAACACTCACTTTACCTCCATGCCCTCCTCTTGCACAGGCTCAGGATGTATACAAAGTGAGGACTCTGGCTCCTTCTGAATCACCTACTTAAGTTGTAAAAATTCTCAATTCTGAAGTTGACACAATGTATCAACCATTACAAACCACCCCTTGTCAACTTGGCAACAGACATATTTCTTTAAACTGGTTTCCAGTTCCAAAGGCATGCTTATTCTTATAATTTCATGACTTGAACATTATAACATAGGTTTAACAATCCTTAAGATCCAGTATTAAGTCTATCAACATTATATTACATCACAACCATAACATTCTGCCCCTAGGTCCCCAAAGACTCATGCACATCCCTTTATGCAAAAGGCATTTAGTCCATCTCTAAGAGTTGCCAAAGTCGTAGGAGTTTCAGCATTGCTGAAAAAGTCCAAGTCCCAAGTCTCCTCTGAGATATAAGAAAATTCTTAGCTGCAAGCCCCTGTACAATGAAAACAAAGTTAAACACTTCCAATATTTAATGACACAAGATAAACATTTTTATTATGAAAGTTACAAACAGGGGTATACAAAGGATTGGACCCAAAGCAAGTCCAAAATCCATCAGGACAAACATTATGTCCTGTAGTTCCAAATCCAGCATCTGAAGCAATCTGTGGCAAGTTGTGAGCCCCAAAGTGCTTGTGTGACTCCACCCCTGTGGCACTTTTGGTGGTGTAGCTCCCATGGCTTCTCTCTTAGTCCTGATTTTTTCCCTCTTTGCAAATTTCCTTAGATATTCTACATTCCTGGTTTTTCCAAACTTCTGGGGTCTCCACGCACCTTCAGCTTCTCACTCACAGCTTCACACACTGCCCTCTCAGGGACACACTGTGTGGCCTCCAGGCCTTCTGAAATCAAGGGGGAAGGCTTTTTAGCCCCACAACTCTTGCATTCTGCATGTACCTAAAACCAGTACCATGTGGATGATGCCAAGGTCTGCTGCAAGGCAGAGCAATAGCCAGGCTTTCCTCTCTCTTGGCTGCAGGGGTTGAATGCCTGGATCACTGGGTACTCGGAATCCAATTCTGAGGAACAATTTTATACGGTGCTGCCATTCTGGATCATGATGTTCTGTGGCTCTCTCCTCAAAGCAAAGTCTTTTACTTTTACAGTTGGGAGGCTGCAAAGGGTGGAGACTTGCTGCTTCTAGTGATGCCCTGAGGACATCTTTTATATTCTCCTGTTCCTTCTCAGTAGCCAAGGTCACCTCTGCTTTACAGGAGTTTCCTTTCTGGTGAAAGTCACATTTTGATTCATGCTGCTGGGCTCTTTGCTCTTGATTCGCAACATAAACCTGGCTAAAACCCCCCAAAATAGCCACGCCACTGCCTCAACATTAGGCTGCCTTGAAATTTCTTCTGCCAAATTAATTAGCCCTGAATCTGAGTCTCAGGCAAAGTCTTTGGTCACAAGCAAAATGTATCAACTACTACAGGGATAGTCAGAAAGAGGTTGTGGAGGTAGGAGATTGTAGACAACATTACCACAGTTCAACCAGTGAACACTGGCTCAGAAGCCATCATAACCTTAGAAACAGAGGAACAGATGGAATTATAAACAACTTGGAGCTAGATTAATAAACTGTAGAGGAAAGGCAGAAAATCGTCTGGATAAACGGTTCAAAAAGCCACATATCATTATCTAATCTTTAAAATCAGCCTTGCAATTGTTCTATTAAAGTTAAAATCCTAAATATAGTGTCCTAATGGCCCAAAATTGTTAAATGACTACTTTTTCCTCTGGCTTAGAGGTAGCCATGATTTTGTTAAATTTGTACTCTCTTGCACCAAGGAAATTGATGACTTGTAGTCATTATCTTCTATTAAAGTGAGCATCTAGCAATACTTTCTGATTTTATTTTCTTTCACTGAGTGACTGGCCAGCCCAGGTATAATATCTGTGGGCCAGATATTATTTCCTCTTTAGCAAGCAGATTTACAGTGGTGGTTCCATTCGTAATTCAGATTAAGTGATATCTGCAAGTTCACCCAGATGTCCCAAGGAGTTGTGGAGCATGTGTATGATGTTTTTAGCAGGATGTTAATGAGTCTTTCCTAAGAAAATTTTTTTTTCACACAGGTACAGGTATGAGAAATATTCGCCTTTCTCTAATTCTACTCTTAGCATCTCTCCCTGTCTCCTGGAGTCAAGCAGTCAGTTACCAGTTTCAGTTGTGGGGAAATCACAATCCAAAATAAGTGACGGTAAGATTTTTTTTTTTTTTTTTAGTTTGACTTCACTAAGCAAACTATTTTTACCATATATTTACATAATGATATGCTCTAGTATGGACTGAAAAGATTTTGTTTTTAAAAGCTTTATTATTTAAATGGATATTAAAGTGTCATACAGTCCCTAGAATGTAAAGGAGTATAATATGAGATCCTAAGAAAACATATAGATGATCAAATCTTATGGAAGAAGCAGTAGTTACTGGTGACTAGGAAAATATTCCAGTGGTTCCAAGTAAGATGGGCTTGTTAAGCCAGGTAACACTATTTTAGCACAAACATATCTCAGTCAAGTGCTCAGAGGTGAAAGAAATATAATTTCTCCTCCCATAAAAGTATGTAATTTCTTGTTCAATACCTTTTCATCAGAGTGGCAAAAACTTCATTTCAATTTGTCCTTTAACCTGCATCTTTCTCCCCCAAGTGTTGCCTACATTCTGGGGAGCCTGCATAGCAGCTAGAGGAGCAGTTGTTGTGAGGGGTTGGTTTGATCAGCCCTGTGTCAGTTAACAGATCCGGAACCCATCTGGTTACAGTATGTTCGTACAAGAAGCAGACAGGTGGTCGCCTTATGTTTAGCTCACACCCATTTTAGCATAGTTGCTCTCTCTGAGAAAGAAGAGACTATCTTGAGTAGAGGGAAATAATTTCACTTCCCACAAGCATTAGAATGCAGGGAACTCTGTCAGCCGGTCTGGTGTTCCATGTGACTATAATATGAAGCAACAGTGACGCATCTGAGCCACCCTTGGGAACATGGGACTCATCTCCTCTCTGTCACTGTTGACACTGGAATCCCTGACAGGATCTGCAGGCAGGGATGCTGAGCTGTGCTGTGAAGCTATTTCCAACCTGGGGTCTTGCAAGCTCCCCGGGCTCTGCTAGTCAAGGTGGAATAGATCATTCTTGCTCACAGAGGCTACAGATGTATGTACCATTGTGATAGCTCCAGAATTCAGTATGAGAAAAGAGAGTGCATCCTTCCTCCTCCCTTCAGCAGAATTATAATGCCCACCCCACCACCTTCCACCCCCATCTCATGGCTTGCTCCTTGCCCAGGGAACAGGTTCCTATGCAGGCAGCACTGAAACCTTTTATACATCTACTGTCTAGCCAAACTTTCTTATATATCTGCTGTCTAGCCAAACTTCTGTCCTTTCCATAGAGGCTTTCTCGCCCAGTAATATCTTCCTTAATACTGTTGAAATGTCTTTTCTGGGGTGATGAGCACTTAAAGCCTGGCTATTCAAATGGAAAGAAGGGCCAGCGGCTCAAAATATATGGAAATATGGGAGAGGGAAGGAAAAGCAGTGGACATAAAAATGCAAAAATATTTATCCAGCAATCTGAAAAGAAGGAAAAGAAAAACATTCTAGAAGAGAATGAAAAAAAGTGATCGATGCATTCAGAAGGACAAGTTCAAGTCAATGGACAAGAAAAAAAGGTGTGTTTATGTATTACAATGGATAACAACCTTAATTTAGGTCCACATATAAGGACAAGTTGCTGACTAAAGAGTTTGGAACTTCACTGTACAGTCCCTGAAGAGTTTTGTTTATTTCTTTTGCTTTTGATAAGCAGGAAAGAGACATATAAATGATACCACAACTAGTTAGAAAACATTTAACTTTTACTGTAGAAAGTAAAACATAGGACTTAGAATCAAGGAATTAAATTATTCTTCATGCAAGAGGACAAATTAACAGGGTACTAAGCATAAGAATTACTTCCTAATTATTTTCTTTCTTGCCTCACATCCTACTTCATTCAAGTTCTTTTCCTTAGATACAGTAAACATAAGTCTTATCCCAAAGATGAGAGTGAGGATAGATATGGGACATGAGATGGGAGTACAGTACAGCTCAGCATGTGGTGATTCTACTGAGCTCACACAATCCCGCCATTTTCCCCCACAACACTCTGGAGCAAGGTTGATTGATCTCAGAACCTTCCAGGATGGTGAATCTGTGTCCCATTCTGTGCTGTCCAGGGTGGTATCTACTAGCCACGTGTGATTACTGAGTACTGGAATATTGCTAGTGTAGGGAGGAACTAAATTTTTAATTTTATTTAATTTTAGAATTTTAATTTAAAATATATGTAGTGTATTTGTACCCCCCAATAATTCTTTTAGGGAAATTCATATAAACTATCTCCTCTCATTTAATTCTCATGGTACCCATTAAATATAAATTTTATGGTCCTTATTTTCTCATTTTGTCCATGAGAAAGTACCTCAAAGGAGCGAACTGAGGTACCTGACATGAAATAGTAAGTAGGCAGCCTTGTCTGTCCTGGGGCCATGGAAGTAACAGCAATGCAGCATGGATCTGGTAGGTTCTTGTCTTTAAAAGCCTTTGTCCATATGCTTAAATAGGGACATGTAGTTTGTGGCAACTGTATTACAAAATACAACTCTATAGTGCCCATACAACCTTCAGTATAAATTTATCGACATGGCTCTAAGTATTACACAGATGTTAGGGCTAGATGTGGCGTTGCAGTCAATTTTTAGATACAAAATTCCCACCCTATTTTGGGGAGCAGGATAGAAACCCAGAAAAGATTTAAATGAAAATTTCATGGTCAGTTGGGTACTTTTCTAGAGGAGATAGAATCAAGCTAAAATCAATGTGAGTTCAGTTTTCTTTTCTGTTACATAGTCTGATTTGCTGGTTTAAAGGTGTGCAACTCACCTCTTCATAACCCCTACTTCTCAATCAGAAGTCATTTTTGGGTTAGTAATAGGTAAGGATAACCCCCACCTAATAGGACTGTTAGGGGGATTCAGTTTTAAAGGTCTGTAAAGCACAACTCACTATGTGGCAAGAGGCTACATTCAGATGTTAGTACCAGAGGTGGCTAACATTATCAATTTTATTAAAGTGGTTAATCTCTTTAGAACTTTTTTTCATTTATAACATGCATGTTTCTATTATGATATGGCTTTTATGAACATGCTTATAATTGTTAGCTTTGAATTTTACTTGTAAAAGTTCTTTTTGTTGGAATATTCATACAGCTGAGGCATAATAATTTTTATAGGGGTTTTTTGGGGGAGCATTAAAATTGGTTAGTCACTAATAAATGTAATTATAGATAGTACTGCCCTGTGCTGAGGATCAACCACATAAAATTTTGCATTTCAGATAAAATTTTCTCAATGATAAAATTGCATGTGATTTCTGTTGAAAGACAGAAAAATCTAAAAGTTAAGGTAAGAAAGACTTGGCTCAGAATTTGCCCTAGACAGGCTGCTGGATGGAGTGTAGGGATGCAAGCAGCCCTGGGTAGGAACAAAGGGAAAAGAAGAAACTAAGATGTGAAGGAAACGAGAAGAAAAAAGAAATCAAGCTCCCAGGTTGAGACTCTTGGATATTTAATTGTGTAAGAGACTGAAGTCAGAAAACATTTTGGAGTTTATTTAAACTCATCAGATTAGTACGGCTGCAGATTTCACTTTTGCATTCTAGCTCAGATTTAGACCCCATCGTGGAAATTCCGAATAAATATTTAGTTTTGATCGTGGTCTCATTTTAATCCTCTTGTTTGCTTTCCCTTCAAGAATGTGACGTGGATGCCAGCTCCTCCATGTGGGTTTATGTGTTCCTGGGAAATCTTCTTCGTGGGTTAGGAGAAACTCCTATCCAGCCACTGGGCATTGCCTATCTGGATGACTTTGCCAGTGAAGACAGTGCTGCATTTTACATTGGTAATGCCCACCTGGTCACACTGGGAAGTAGGATGTCTACTCTACTCCATCGCGTACTAACATGGGTGTAGAAAGTTGTATTCTTCACTCACCACTCCTTTGTTCAGTGAACATATTTCTGAAGTATACACTCAGGATTTGGATGATGAAGATACTTCATAATTTAGAAAGAGCTATTGTATTATGTACAGAATGCCAGATTAGAAGAAAATACCCATGAGCTCAATTGCAATGACATAGGACCTGGTAAAAGTATCTTTGTGGCCTTCAGATTCCACACATTATTTTTACTAGGATATTTCTTTTTTTTTTTTTTTTTTTTTTTTTTTTTTTCCTCTGGTACCGGGAACCAAACTCACGACCTTGCACTTGCCAGGCAGGCGCTTTGCCGCTGAGCTAAATCCCCAGCCCTTACTAGAATAAGTATATCATTGAGGCACCTAGGCGTGACAATTTTGATACAATTTTTTCTGCAGTGCTAGAAACTGCTTTCCATTCTGTATGTATGAATTACTTAAAACATCTTTTGTTTTCCTGTGGGAAATTGGCAGTGGTTAATTCCTGGATCTGGATAACAGGTAGAAATAAATAAAGAAAAGTATAAATAGGATAGGAGCAAGCCGTGAGGATATCCCATTTCTGAAACAGCTTCCTGAGGACAGACCAACAGCTAAAGTCACAAAAAAAATGGCAGCAGAGGCAAATTTTCAAGGCCAGATGCATCTAAGCAGCATTCACTGGACACCTTTTATGCCCTAGAATTAAGCTAGAAACTAGGCTTACAGTTTCACACATCAACCTTGACTTGTTGGAGTTTTGATCTTTTCGAGGGTCTACCATTCAAGTATGGTGGGCAGGATTTAAGAGGTCCTCACCTACATGGACTGTATGGACTGTCCCTGGCTATGCACTAGAGAGCTCCAGGGTATTCTACTTACAGCCAAGCAGGCCAGAATTACCAACATAGCACTTGCTTTCATCAAAAATTGCAACATAAGTCAGAAACTGGCAGTGGCACAAAATCTCCATCATATGCACTTGGCAAAGGGTCTAGAGATGGAAGAGAAGCATCAGCAGGAATCTCCTTCCTCTCCAGGAGGCCATTTGTGCTCCTTGCCTTCTCTTCTGTTCTGCAAAGGGCCTGGAAACTGCTATTTATTCCACCACCTGGAAGCTGCTATTTATTTACATCAACCTCTGTGGACTGTGTGTACTTTGAGCTCTGCAGTGAAATGAAAGGTAGATGGAGATGTTTTGCAGCAAGGGCAGCCAGACATAGTGCCCTTTTATGCAATCTGTTCCATTCACCTGCTAAGGATGCCCCGCTGGTCTGGAACAGTCTGCTACGAAGCCCAGGTCTTTTGCTGGGAGCTTCCTGCAATCTGCACAAGCTCTCCTTTGAAAACCAGTCCCGCAGAATCAGCATGAATGGACACACTTTTCCACTAAGGTGGAAGAAATCAATTTTAATGTCAAGATGAATCTCATGTTTAACTGACCGTAAAACATTTTGAAAGGCTGCCAAAGTTAGTATACTTCCAAATTTTCACAGTGGACAACCTAATCCTAGAAACTAAAATTTGCCTGCTTCTGGGAAATTAACTTCTTCAGAGTCTTGGCATTATTTTCTAAGAGGCAGTTAATGCCTTAAAAGTGCTCATTCTTCGCCCAAAGCAGAGAATGATTTATTTCCCGATTCAGTGTGGTTGAAAAAAGGGCAAATTAAACACACAGCAATGAGAACTTGAAACATCTGCAGCTACTTACTGAATCTCACTCACATTTCTTGTTTAAAATTTTATTAATTTATCAAAACAAATAAATGGTAGCATTTTTTTTCTTTTTCTTTTGGTACAGGGTGTGTGCAGACGGTTGCAATTATTGGACCAATTTTTGGCTTCCTGCTAGGCTCATTATGTGCCAAACTGTATGTGGATATTGGCTTTGTAGACCTAGGTAAGGGCGGGGTATTTTTATTTATTCACCTTACTTTGGTTACTGTTACTTTTTAAATGGGAGCACTGTGGAAAATATCAAATTATCCTTTTAATAAAATGTGAGGGTGTTAATCTTTATAAAATGAGAAGAGTCCATGGTAAATCTATCACTAGAATTACCACATGCATTAATAGATGGAATATAAAAAAAATAGGTGGTGATTAGAACTGGATGACCTGTAGTTTGTTATTAAGATGTCTCCTACTTCGCTTTTGGTTTACCAGTTCAAATGTATTTGAACAGAGTTGAGACTATCTATGGCTACTTGTTGGCTTTTGTTGGTTTCAGGTGTGTCAATATTTATTACACTTACATCACTTGTCAATGTAAATACTTCCAGAGACACCAAGGATTAAAAATCTCTGGCAACCAAGCCTTTCTCATGCTTTCATTCTTTTTCTTTCCTCAGTGAACCTTGTTTTCTTTTTTTTAAGATGAAGGCATATTATAGCAAGACTAACTTTCCTTTTAGGAGATTGCTTGTTCAGGATGCAAATGGGAAGAGGCTGATACCCCCAAGGCTATTAATTTGTTTCCATCCCTGTGAGAAATACCCCTTAGAAATAGATAGCATTCACCCATTTTTTTCTTTATAAAAATAAGTCCAAAAGGCAATTAGAGGCAGGAAAATAAGCTACACTAAAACGAAATCTGGTACTGCATGTTGAAGCCATTGTGTGTTAAAATGCAAAATTCTTGCACTTTTCAGTCAAATAAACTGAAATGTGTGTTCCAAAATGTTTATTCGTTCATGACCTCCCTCAAAATTACTTTATGTTTAATCTGTCACAAATTCTGCTCTACAATATTGACCCCAATTATTGAGTTCTTTGACTTCATGTAGTTTAAAATGCAGAAGTGGAGACTGCTATACAGGAGACAGAGCACAGGTGTGGGAATTGTACACAGAAGCATCATTCAGGAGAAGCAATTGATATGCAGTGATAAACCAGTGATCACATTTTACCTCCTATAATGCAGTGGCATTGAACCTGCTTGCAAAAGAACATGTGTTTATATTCCTGTGCTTCCTTAGTGTGGTAAATGTATAGGGACCTGTTTGATAGCTTCTTTCTGAGAATAAAAGAAAAAAAGCCACTTGTTTGATTCAGAAAAACAAATTTTCACTTGGAAGTCAGATGAGAAATGATGTAACATTTTTCTGATAAAATTGAAGTTTTATTTACATATACATAGCTTGCTTCAGAGCTAAATAAAATATCATTAATTACCATGTAATAAATAATGTTTTGCTGGTTTAATCAGAGTGAGCCTTAAGTTTACCGCCTGTGCAATAAGAGCTTTACAATAGATCTGGGCAGGTCATTGTACAGTGTAACTTGTTAAGTAAAATCTTAAACAGATATTCAATCTGCAAGCCAAATGGAAGTCACACTGATGTGGAGGAAGTAGGCGGTGTAGGAAGTATTGAGCCATCCTAATTCTCCCTCACACATCACCGCCTGCTACCAGGAGTCTCACTGCAGAGCAGAGCGCAGAGGGAAAATCATGAGACACCCTTGCAGAATTTACTTTAAATTGGAGGAACAAAAGAAGAAAATATCATCCTTCAAAAATACTCTTTTCCCTTTAACAAGCAAATTAATAATATTGAAAATAAACATATATACCTGTGTATCATGTACACATTATTAGGTAATTTTAAGGATGCGATAGAACTAGTGGTAGGACTGATTTTTTTAAAGTGCATTTCAACAACTTGGCTTTGATCTACATGCTTCTTAGCTATCCTCTCTGCCTTTCAGACCATGTTACCATTACCCCGAAGGATCCTCAGTGGGTAGGCGCCTGGTGGCTTGGGTATCTGATAGCAGGAATCATAAGTCTTCTTGCAGCTGTGCCTTTCTGGTGTTTACCTAAGAGCCTACCAAGACCCCAAAGTAGAGAAGACTCTAATTCTTCAGAGAAATCCAAGTTTATTACAGATGATCATATAAAATACCAAACACATGCCGAAGAAAAAGGAAAAATAATGGAAATGGCAAGAGGTAAGTCGGATTTTTCTTGATTTGGCAGTAGTTTCTGTTTTCATGCTGGGATGTTAAGGGATTCATAAACAATACCACTCTCATCTTCTCCTGCATCAAAAAAAATAGAAACCTTACAGGAAGCAGAAATGAAGATATAAAAGTCAGCATTCATATTGGAAAACTGATTAAACCACGTGACCAGAACCCTTCATAACCTTCCTTGCATATATCCCTTCTCTCTCATGCTTCCTCAGTTTAATCTCTACAATTGCTTTTACCCAGGATTGCTGTTTTGCGTGAGTCTAGGGGACAGGAACAAAAAAGAATCAGTCTCTAGGGCTTGCGGCCTTTTGATAGATGAGATCCTCCCACTGCAGAAGTGTGTTTTAATGCATGTGTTGTACTATGATCAAAGAAGTGAGTGCGGGGGTGGAGTTGAGAGTGGGGACAAAAGGCCAGAAGTGTTCTAATGAATTCTCTCCATGGAAATGGACCACTAGGAGATTAGCTCCATTCCCCCTTCACTTCAAGTAATGCTTCATATACATTTGCAGAAATTCTTCACTTTCTAACTCTTTTGCCACAAAATAGGAAGGAGAAGAATGCCAAAGCTCTATTCTAATGCGAAAGTACATTCCTTAAGGTTAAAGCAGATACCTTTCCTATTTCTCTCCCTGTGACCAAAATGTGAATTTGAAAAATAGAGACCCCAAACCTGAGGGTACGCCCTGCCTACAGCTCCCAGCTGTCTTGGTCTTTGACTCCATATTACTTAAAGAAATCTGTTTCTGAATTTTTGCTGTGAGATAATCTGTATTATATGCTTACAGGAGTGGGTGCTTGTGTCTGGATTTTTACCTGGCCAGACTGCAACTTTTTTGTACCACTGATTTAACAACACACCTATGGTGTATCTATGAACCACACTGCAACCACTCCAGTTTCTGGACAAGGGGACTCAGCCATCTACCTCCTGCTGCCAGGGCTGTGTCTTCTACTCACTGTGACACTGTCCTGCATTACTCTGTATTGTTTTACAGATTTTGTTCCATCACTGAGGAGTCTCTTTGGAAACCCAGTGTATTTCTTGTATTTGTGTGCAAGCACCGTCCAGTTCAATTCTCTCTTTGGCATGGTGACGTATAAACCGAAGTACATCGAGCAGCAGTATGGGCAGTCATCCTCTAAGGCCAACTTTGTTATCGGTATGCTCCTCTGTCCTCCGTGCTGTCCCCCAGGCACTGCCTTACCTGCATCTTGTTAACTCTCAGTAACCTTCAACTGTCCCAGTACTTACAGACTTAAGGTAGCCTAGGGCATTTTAGATGACATCAAAAAGCAAGTGAAACAATGTAGCCGAATAAAGTATTTGGTCTGTGGCAGGACTGTACAGCAAGTGTTATTCATAACCGTGAGTATGTGACCTAGAGAGAACTGCTTACAGTTCTCAAAGAAGTAACGTCATATGGACCCAATGTATATTTTATTAGGGATGGTTATTGCTGAGTAGCTGTGTTTCAAGTGCAGCTGAAACCTCACAACAGTAATGATTATACGTGGACAGTTTCTGGAATGATATAAAATGGTGAATTAGATAGGGTAAAAGGTGTTTACCATGACACGAACATTGCATTTGTCCAGTGAAAAGACTATTCTGATTCCTGGTGATTGAGTTATTTAAGAGTTGTGCTTTTTTTACCGCAGTTGAAATGTTGCAGAAACCAATATCAAACCAAATGGAAGATTTTTTGCACCAAGGATCTAGAAGTCAACTTGTATTATGCTAGGGGGCTGGGGAACCTGGGGGTTCAAATCACCAGCCCAGAGTCAGGTTTGAGTTCAGTTTAAATACAGTTTGCAAGTGGGAAGAACAAAGCTGATAACAGGTTATTACATGATTGGTTACATGCATTGAGTCATATGTTGTCAAGAAAATAGATTTACTTAAAAGGAATTGTATATCATAAAGTAAGAACATTCTGGGAAGGAGGGGAGGGGTGTGAACAGAGCAAGTAGAGTTAAATGGGTCCTTGACTGGGCCAGTCTGATCCAGACATGAAGTCCTTGACACAAGCTGGAAACAATATATACTTTTTTAACTAAGGAAAACACAAGCTAGACACAGTCAAGTTGGCCCAGTGCATTATCAAAGAGAAGGAGATAGTCAGGCTGACTGAATTTAACAAGCTAGCTACATGACAGGCAGCACGAGCATAGTTCCAGGCTGTGAACTGATTCCTAACTTTTGCTGTAAAATATCTATAAGTCTGTCATTCTATAAGTGTGCCCTTAGAGTAAGTCACTAATCAGAATAGCATTCAAGGGCCAAGAAAAGCACGAAGAAATAAAGGGGAAGCAGATTCTATAACATCTGACCATTCCCCTGGAAGTAACCAGATATTTTAAAAGCTGGGTTAGTTTCTTTAGTCCAAGAAGATGTCATTTAATGTTACTGGTTTAAGATAGAAAATATATTCTATTTCTTTTTACGTGTTCCTTTATGATGGGAGACTCCATTGGTTTAACATAATTTCTTCCACATAGGAGATGTTAAAAATCACTCTATGTATCTAGCTCTGCAAGCAAGCAAGCAAGCGAACAAACAAAAAACCAAACTGCTGAGCCTATTTGGGGATGCAATTTCCTATAATAATCCTCTCTGATGAATATTTGGCTGATGCTAATCTAAAAGAATCTTTTTTGGGGCCTTCTCCAAATTACTAGAATTTAAGAGACTCGGTAACTGAACCTTTTCACTTTTAACATTAACTGGCTCAAATTAATTGAATCACATTATTTTATGCTTGACCTGAAAAAATATTTTAGATTTTTCCTCAAACTCTCATCCATGCCAGTGATGCTTTATACTGGTTTTACAAAGACTATATGAGGAATGCAAATTTGAAATGTTTTTTCTTCATTTTAGCTTTGATATTTTTATTGAGTTATAACTTATAATTCACAGTTTAGTCTGCAAAATTTACAGCTCAGCTGAATAAATGTTTACATACATATCAGGGTAGTACCCACAACTGAGAAACCATAGCACCTTTTAAGAGCCCATAGGATCTCTTTAGTCAAAATTTTTCCATAAAGCGTATACTTATTGTAAAATCTATCATCATAGATCAGTCTTGCCTATTTTCGAGATTCACACATAAATCGAAAAGTGAATATTCTTCTTTTTTGTCTAGCGTACTTCAACTGAAGTGAAACCTAAGATTCATCCATGCTGTTGTACACAGCAGTTGCTTTGTTTTTTTTCACTGTTGTACAACAATCTACTACTTGAATATACCTGCATTTATTCATTTTATTGCTGATGGACATTTGGGTTGTATGTTGCCTTTTGCTATTATAATTAACATTGCTGTGTCTATTCTACATAGTATATACTGGTGAGTTGATATGCCTACTTCTTTTGGCTACACCATGGCATACAACTGTTGGGCGATAGGGACTATGTGTCTATGTAGATATTGCCAAACACAACATGGTTCTGCAAGTCAAATACTAGTATTAAAAGCATAAGAGCATTCCAATTGATCCACATCCTTGTCAGCATTGGTTTTGTCAGTCTTTTCACAATAACCATTCTTCTGGGATATGGGATGTTGTCTTTGTCACTTTCTCATTGCTGGGACAAAATACCTAATACCCAAAAGTTAAGAGTAGGGGTTTATTTTGCCTCATGATTTCAGTTCATGGTTGGCTGGCTCCAGAAAGAAATAATGTGGTAGGAGAACCCGGGCAGAGGACAGCTGCTCCTCCCATGGCAGCCAGAAAGCAGAATGGAGACAGGAGCTGGGGAGGGAGAGAGACCCTTCCAAGTCATGCCCCAGTGACCCACCCATTCCAACTATGCCCCACTTCCTCAAAGCACACGGGGCTCTGTTTATTCCTCTAATTAGTCCATTAATCCTAAACTGTACGATGGCCCCTTGAGCCCATCAACTTCCAAGAGTACCACCCTGAAAACGTGAGAATTTGGGGGGATTTTTTTTTTTCCGTACCAGGAATTGAACTCATGACCTTGTGCTTGCCAGGCAGGCACTGTGCCAGTGAGCTAAATCCCCAGCCCCTTGGGGGAATATTTTGGATCTAAACCATAACGCATGATATCTCATTGTCACTAAATTTGCATTTACCTGATTATTATTGATGTTGAGCACTTTTGTATAGGCTCATATGTCATTTCAACATTGTCTTTTTCTACTGCATTCCATTCCATTCCATTCCATTCCATTCCATTCCATTCCATTCCATTCCATTCCGTTCCGTTCCGTTCCGTTCCGTTCCGTTCCCTTCTGTTCCATCCGTTTCATTGCATTCCTTTCCGTTCCGTTCCATTCTGTTCCATTGTGTTCCCTTCCATTCCATTTCTATTTCATTCTATTCCGTCCTATTCCATACTATTCTATACTATTCTACCCTACCCTGTTCTGTTCTGATCTGATCTATTCTATTCTATTCTATTCTATTCTATTCTATTCTATTCTATTCTATTCTATTCTTTCTATTCTATTCCTTCTATACTATTCCATTCTGTCATTGCCCCATTTTACTTTTTGCTTATGGATCTTCTTTATGTATTTGTTGGAGAACTGTATATTTTCCTTGATACAAGTTCTTCATTGCACATAATGTTATAAATACTTTCTCACAAACTTCTTGCCTTTTCATTCTGCTTATGGTGAGTCTCTTAATTGTATTTAGGTTTCATTTTTTATTTGTTTCCTTTTCATTAGTCTTATTTTAATTGTTTTGAAAAATCCTTGTTAAACCTCAAGTTTATCAAACTGTTTTTTAAATTATTTCTACTAATATTGGATTTTAATATTTAACTCTTTTAGCTTTCACATACATTATAGATTTATTTCAAGTCAGCTTTTCTGCTGAAGAAAAGGGTCATGGTTCAATGAAAATAAGAAAGACCATTTTTCTCCATGAACGGAAGTAATAGGATGCATTATTAAGTATGTGTTCATTTTTCATTATTGAATAATGTGCTTCAGGGCACTGAAATTTTTCCTCACTTCAATGATGAATAAGTTTTAAATTTTCAGATTGAAAAGTGAGTTTCTTAAAGGAAAATTAAGAGCATTAGTTAAAGGAGCTTATAATAGAAAATTGAATTATATGTAATTACATTCATTTGGTATGTAATAATTGAAATACTTTTTACCTAAAAAATTACTTTTAAAGATCATTTTCATAGATGAAAGAAGCTGACATTCTAAGAGATTCAGTAACCTGCCCAATATTACACATACAGATCACTAACGTGTCCATCATGAGATAATCAGGCATAAAAAAAAAATTCTCTAGTTTCTGGATGGCTATTCAATCTGTAGTACTTTAAGTGACATTATTCATAGAAGTCCATCAATTAATTTTTCCCTGTCAGATTTCTAAAGAAGAAAATATTGACCTAGACTTTCATCAAATACCCTTGGTGTGTGATAGCAGATGAGAGTAACCACATATTTCTGTGTTAAAATGACAAAACTTTGTATCTTTTTTTTTTTTTTTCTGGTACCGGGAATCAAACTCACGACCTTGTGCTTGCCAGGCAGGCGCTGTGCCGCTGAGCTAAATCCCCAGCCCCCAAAACTTTGTAATAGTGTATCAGGAACCATTGCACAGATTTTTGTTGTTCTTGTTGTTTGTTTTTAATTTTGTTTTTTTGTATAATGGCTTAGAAAGTTTGTGTAGTGCCCATATGTTTCTGTTAGAGATTTGCAAATTGGTGTATTTTTCTTGTTTCTCAGGGCTCATCAACATCCCTGCAGTGGCCCTTGGGATATTCTCGGGGGGAGTAGTCATGAAAAAATTCAGACTCAGCCTGTGCGGAGCTGCAAAACTCTACTTGGGATCATCTGTCTTTGGTTACCTCCTCTTCCTTTCCTTATTTGCCTTGGGCTGTGAAAACTCTGATGTGGCAGGACTCACTGTCTCCTACCAAGGGTATGTGTTCTGATGAATTACTTTGAGGAGATTGGCTTGTTTAATCCAATTAATTATTGATAGAATTTTAAAACAGAATTTCGACTTTTAGGGATTGTAAATATGGAAAAAGAATTATTTTATCATGGAATAGCTGATAGTACTAAAGTTTTAGAATCTGTTGTCACAAAAGTTTGTCATTTACTTTGAATTTGAATATCTTAGAGAAATATAAAAAAAATGCTAAATCTGCATCTTCCATGAGAGAATCAATGCAGGTGAAACAACATGAGAGTGGAAATACAGACCTTGAATCTTGTCTCTGCCTAGTTTTAGTAAAGTTATATCTTATGGCTTATTTAAACCAGTCCATTTTCACTTTTGAATTTCTGATATAGAAATAATAACACTTGCCTTTTAAGGTTTCATAATGTTTAAGTAAGGTAATGTGCATGAAAGTGATTAGTCCTTGCCTGATGCAAAATAGAGCTGCATTCATGACAGCACTTGTACTTTCCCCCTTTGGACTCTCTGAGGGGGTTGGTCTGCACTGTCTCCTATGGTCTCTGGTGTGCTTGAGTCTTGAGAAGATTCAGAAGAGAATGGCTGTCCTGCAACCCACTGATTCCCTGAACAGCTCTCTTTGGCTGGGTATCTTACAGTGGGTCTCAAGAATATTATCTTTCTTTGTAATTGATGCTGTCAGATGTTTGTTATCCTTAATGGGGTAGGGATGAGATCACTTAATATCCAGTCTGTCTCTTTTCAGACAAGGCAGGCTTTTGTGTGACCTATTTTCCTTTTTCCTATTAAGAATCCTTCCCAGCAGTCCTTCTCCTAGCATGAGTTCCCAGAGTTACTTTCTTCCTCTCCCACCTGTTTTTTAAAAGGTATTATTGAGTGTCTTCCACATGCCAGGCAGACCTCCCTGGTCATATCTGTCTGACTGCCTGGAACTCTGCTAGTGGCTCAAAGGCAAACATCTGGGAGACTCTACTGTGTTCTGCCTGTTCCAAAAATCTTGCTGATGACTTGCTTTGCTGCTCTTTTCCTATTTCTCCTTTATTCTCCCCCATCTTATCATTGTGTTCTAAGCTCCGTTTCTTTCTTTGACCTGGTTTCTTCTGCTGGTGAATGAACACAGGCTATCATTTGAGCCATCTAACATATTACAGAAAATTGATGAATGCAAAGTTAAGAATCATGTCTTCTGGAGTTACCATAGTGACATTGTTTGATTCAGTTAAGTATCCTCTTGTTTGCTAACAGTCAGCAGTGTAGATTAAGAAAGATAATCATAGTGCAGCCTGGTGGCACACACTTGTGATGTCAGCACTTTGCGGCTGAGGCAGGAAGACTGCAAGTTCTGGCTTATCATGGGCAAGTCAGTGAGACCCTGGCTCAAAATTAAAGATTAAAACAGGCTAGGGATGTAGCCCAGTGAAAAGACCCTAGGATCAATCCCCAGTAGAGTAACAAATGGTAGTTGTCAATATAAATTACAAGAGCCTTCTGGAAGGAATGGAAGACCTACTTTAACTGTGTCTCTCTAATCTTCATGGTAGGTGGACAAAGATAGAGTAATGCATATTTTGCAATTTACACAATATCCTTTTTCACTTTCTCACTTATATTCTCCAAACATCTTTTTGTGGAAAGTTTTGTTACTTCATTTAAAGGAAATTGAGTTTAAAAAAGTCAGTTAGCATCTCCAAAATTAATATCTATCAATGCCAGCTCTTGGGTTTGAAGACAGAGGAGATCCAAAGTAGAATGTAGACTTTACATCATTCCATAGCTAAGCTTGAAGCAAACTCATATGCAGACAATAACAGCAAACTTTTAAAGTTCACATGAAAAGCATACTTACATAATAAAATAGTAACTTTTAAAAAATACAAGATAATACATTCCCTGAGTACAAGCCTCTTCAAAGCAGTCACGTTGAAATATGTTAACCTTGATAGAACTGACATAACTCTATCATTGTTAAAAAGTTCTCAGACTACTCCTTTGAAATTGCTTTGCATATTTTTTAGAACATCCTCAACAAGGAAAAGATTCAACCTCTGAGAATAGTTTTGCTCTTGGGAACAATCAAAATAAATAGCAATATCACTAGGAAAATTTCTCATGTCTCAACATAAACTATTTGGAAAGCAAATCTCATTTACATGTAAACATTGTGACATATTTACTGAAACTCTTCTTACAGATAAAAATTTAAATCACAACTCCACTGTGTGTAATTAAGTTCTGCCCTACATGGCAAATTAAACTGACTTTGAGTGATGTGCAATAAAAAACTTTATAAAATACAAAGTGTTTCCCATGGGTTGTCCCATATTGCTATGTCCCTGAAGATTGTTTTGATTGGACATTTGTGGGGGAGAACGCTGTAGAAAAGCTTTAGATATGGTAATGACAATAACTGGATGTGAGATAAGAACTTATCATAAGGCAGGGAAAGGTTCCACGTCTCTAGCAAATTGTGCAAATTTGAGAAAGTTACCTGGCCATGCTGGACCTGACTGTCCTGAACTACCACGTGAGCAGGTAGCCCATAGCATTTTAAGTTTCCTTGCAATCCTAGACTCCCCTGATCTCAGTTATACAGTATCCATCATGGCCTGATTCTGGGATTTCAAAAGCTCATTTTTTGTAATTTTAGCAGATCCTACCAAACAGGCTTAGCTAACAGTTAAGAATTTGTGAAAGTGAATATGATCAAACATTCCTGTAGGATTTCCCAGGGGGTCCAGACCCTTTCACTCTATTCAGAGTGACTTTGAGATGACCAAACCCTTAGAAGTTCTTCTAGATGGAAGATGACATCAATTGAAATATTATGACTGCTATCACTATAGGAAATATCTCTCAGAGGTGAAAGCCAAAAGGACTGTTTTGGTTTTTTTTCCAAAATAAAGTATCATATTTCTTTGATAACTGACTTCCTAGAAATCTTGTTTCTTAGTCTACACTGTGCCAGGAATTGTTCTTGCTGCTGTAGATTCAGGAATGAATAAAGTGTATAGCTCATGCCTTTCTTGCATGTGTGTTCCAATGTATTACTTCTTTATTTTAAGTCCTTCAAATATCTCTTTAAAAATATGGGGAAAGTGGTGGATAAATAAAAGATAATGCATTTGAAATGAGAGAGAGGAGCAAGTGGATTACGAATGTCCCCTGGTGGAACACTGGAGAGATAGCAGGGACCTGCCTTGGAGAAGAACGGAGGGATATGAAAAGAGTGCTGAGGGAAAGGGGAGAAGGATCAGGCAATTCAAAGGAAGAGGTGAGAGAGAAGGATATCTAGGAGAGATACAGGCACAGTATGAGAGAATGAGAGAGAACAAAACAGGAGAGAAAAGAGAAAAAACACTGTTATGGAAAATCACTCAAAGAAAGCCAACACCTTGAGGGAAAATATTATTTCATTTCTGTTTATAAGCAACTTCCATCCTCCTAAAGGTAGAACTCAAGTTTCTAATAAAGTTTTATGAATCAACAAATCATTCATTCAAATAGTGTGAAATTTAGTAACCAAGGATAATATAGGATAAGGAAGAGCTCTATACAACAGGAGGGTACACAGAGGAAAGGACAGATAGTCTGAAAATGTGTTATTGATAAGAAGATACAATTAGGGTATGCAGTTCCTACAAATGTTGAAAGGATACTTAATGTTAACTCTTCAGTTATAGTTTTCTTTCATTACATCATTAACAATGTCCATTCCACTGACGTAAAGATAAAGAAATTCTTATATATGCACACATAAACACATATCAACTGCAACCCATTGAAATAACATCATAAATTGCTCTAAATGCTTATTTTTCTATCTTGAACGCATGTCCATGGATCCCATTCCTAGACCCTAAAGGTTACAGACTTTAGCAAAAGCCACGGGTTAAGAAAGGCACACTGTGTCAAGCTAATTTTCAAGGTAAATCTGTTTATTACTCACCTCACATTTAATGATCAGACCTTGGCATTTCTGATGATAACTATTTGCCAACTTTGTTGGCAGTGCAACTCATCTCGCTCAGAAACATTGATTTTTTGAAGGTATGAGGGGGCTCCCTACTAAGGGGTAATGTTTTGTGTTGTCACATTTCTTTTCAGAACTAAACCTGTCTCTCATCAGGAACGAGCTCTCTTTTCAAATTGCAACTCAAGATGCAAATGTTCAGAGACCAAGTGGGAACCGATGTGTGGTGATAATGGAATTACATACGCATCAGCTTGCTTTGCTGGTTGTCAAACCTCCAACATGAGTGGAAAGGACATTGTAAGAAAACACTTTTCCAAAAGTACTTGCCCATGAATCTCTTACCATATCGAACTGTGTGCTTCTAGGGAGGCTCGGCAGTAGCATACGCTGGCAGGAGTCCTGGCTCTTTCCTTGTCTGTTTGTATGCAAGCAGGGAATTTAAAACCATTTCTAGGGGATCTAAAGTTAAAAGAGCCAGAGTAAGAATTAGTTGTGAAACAAGGTAGAACAGCTTTTGAAATTATGTAGATATTTGGTTGTTTTGCTGATAAGTACTAATAGCCCAGAATAAGGAAGTGGTCCTTGGACATTTAGGGGCAAGACAAAATAGAAGCCAGTATTAGGAAGTCAAGACCCAGAGGTGTAGATCCAAGATTCAGGCATCTGCTTATATGGTGAAGCTAATGGTGCTGGGAAAGCCCTGCTTGAGAAATCAGGCCAATCTGTGTGCTAATTAAAAGTAGATTGCCTGGAATGGGGGTTTCCATAAGGTGGGAGTGGGAGGTTAGAAATCTAAGTCGGAAACTGTTTCCATCAGTCTGGATTGCTATAACAAGTACACCTTAGACTGAGTGGTTTAAACAGCAAACATTTAGCTCTCACCGTTATGGAGGCTGGGAATTCCAAAATTAAGGGGCCGGGGATCACAACCAGCAGAATTAAGCTTCCTCTTTGTAGACAGTCATCTTCTCTCTGTTTTTCCATGGCTGGGAGTAGAGAGAGAGAATAAGAGATCTTTTCTTAGAAGGAGACACAGTAAATGCCACTCATGAGGGCTTCAGCCTCATGATCTAACTTCCACCCAAATGTCTTACCTCTACCTACCATCACACTGGGGGTAGTATTTTAGTATATGAATTTAGGACAAACAGTTCATAACAAAATAGTACTGCATGGTAGAATGAACTTCAATCATTAACAAATGCCCTTTTGATCACACCTTTACATTCCTGGCTCAAACACTGAGTCTTCTTTATACTCAGGTTGCATTCTCTTCATGACTGACAGAATTCACCTTCATTTGATGGTACAAGAGGGCTAAAAATTAGATCACACTGTACGTACATATGCTTATCAACATAAAGGGTAGAAATGCTCTGGCAAACCCATGGGCAGATACAAAGTAATGTTTGTTGATTTTCTCTTTGTTTTATTATTTTGACATTTTATTCAGCGTGAAAAGGATTCATCTCTAGTAGCAGAAAGACAATCCACCAATCTGAAATGTCTTCTGCATTCTTTGTTTTTCATCTTCCCTTCCCCTCCCTTCCTTTCCCTTCCTTTCCCTTCCCTTCCCCTTCCCTTCCCCTCCCCTCCCCTCCTCTCCCTTCTCTTCCTTTTCCTTCCCTTCCCTCCCCCTCCCCTTCTCTCCCCTCCCTTCCCTTCCTTTTCCTTCCCTTCCCTTCCCTTTCCTTCCCTTCTTGAAGACATTCCATGCCAGAGGCTAAGATAGATGCCTTTAAAAACTGCATTTAAATTTCATGATCCTCAAACAATTGCTTAATGTTTTATGTATTTTTCTCTAGTGAGAACTAAAACATTGAGATATGAAGCATCTGAGATATATATGGAGAGAGAAAAATGGGAGTAAAAGGAAGAAAGAGACAAAGACAGAGAGAGAGAGAGAGAGAGAGAGAGAGAGAGAGAGAGAGAGAGAGAGAGAGAAAGTGCACCAGTAGCAAGAGTCAAGATTCAAACACTTCTGATCTGACTCCCCTAAGGGGAAAAAAATCTATATTGCTACTTTCATTTAAGAAAGGAAGTGTCAGCTTTATTTCATTCTTTATCTAAAAATTCACAAACGCTTCTGTGCTGAAAGCAACTGACAAATATTATAGATTATGAAATTTCATTTTATTAATGAAGTTTATAGAAATACACACTGGAAGGATTATAAAAGTTGTTTTCTGTTAGCTGAGATTTAGCTGACTTTTATGCACCTGAATTTTTTTCTCTAACAGCCAATAGAAATTCTGTCACAGCCTCAAAATATACCCATTTGTTTAGCAAGTTTCTTTTGAATGCCTGAAAGGAAGGCCAAGTTTGGCTCTCATATATTTTGATGACAAAGCAGTTTCTGCCTTCATAAAGATTATACAGTAGTGGAGAAATACAGTTTAAAAATAAACACATATGAGATGGTTGGTCCTAATAGATACTTTCGGTAAAAAATTAGAATGAGAAGCTGGATGAGAGGGATGCTGTTTTGAATGGATAGTCATGAAAGTTGTCTCTATCAAAACCTCTGAATAGAAACCTGAAGTGAGCGTGCCCCCTAGGTAGGTATTTAGGAGAAGAGCTGCCCAGGCAGAGGAAAGGGCAAGGGCATGAGTGCCCTTGCCAAGAAAGAGGAGGATCATCTAGAGCAAAATAAAAGGCAGCATGGCCCTTTCCAAGATTGTGTGTGTGTCCAAAGCAGGGAGAGGGAAGGGAGGATCATTGCACAACAAGATCAGAGCAGGATCCAATAGCCACATGATGTGGAGCCTATAAAAATCACTGTAAAGATGTGAGCTTTTATACAAATGTACAATAAGGAGTCATTGAGAAGTTGATAATGTTGATGCTATTTGACTGTCATTTAAAAAACAAAGCTTTTATTTGGGGTGACTTTACTATGTAGAAAATAAGCTGTACCTAGAGAAGAGTGGAAACAAGTTGAGCACAAAGAAATCACTGCAACAATAAAAGCAAAATATAATGATGATTTAGACTTGACAGTGGTAGTGCAGGAGACAAGGTACAATTGGATTTGACAGAATTTGCTGAGAGATTCTCCTATAAGCTTTGTAGTCTGTAGACCAACCGGCTGCTGCTTGAATAATGAAGGTGTATCTGTAGATTTCATCTTGCTCAATATAACTCTAAGACAGAAAAAGAAAGGAATATGCTCCCCATTGTTTGTATAATACACGGATGCTGGCCTCTAAAGTATTTTTAAATAAATGTTTATCTTTAGTTTTGTATACCTGTTGATGAAGTAATTGAACTTCTCTCTGTTGTGTTGCAGATATTTTATAACTGCACCTGTGTGGGAACTGCAGCCTCTAAATCTGGAAATTTCTCAGGCGTAGTGGGCAGATGTCAAAAAGATAATGGATGTTCCAAAATGTTTCTGTATTTCCTTGTAATTTCAGTCATCACATCCTATACTTTATCCCTAGGTGGCATACCTGGATACATATTACTTCTGAGGTGAATACTGATTCTCCCCATACCAATCATTATATAAGACATGATATAATTATAGAGAGCTGTGATTACAGATTATTTTCTAGAGAATCGCCATGACTGCCTGTAGTTTTTTTCAGGGAATTTGTCCCATACCTTTGTTTCACTTTTAGAAGCAACCCGTTCTAAGTTCTTATACAAAAATTTTGCCAAAGTAGAAAATTCTGTGTTTCAAAACGTTCAGAAACCATTGGCCTAGAAGCAGTGATAATGAATTTTTTAGAGTTTTCAATGATACAAACAGCCTATGGTGGCACCCGTATCACACTGAGAGAGTTGTCATTACCTACATCGTTCTACAGTGTTATAGCTAATGTTAGAGGCAACATTAAGTGATATAGTTAAAATGTGTTTTAGATTAAATGTAGTTTCATCAAATTATGGAAGACACAATTTATAAGACACTTTAAATCTTGTGTAATATCACGTTTTGTCCTTATTATTACTTTTCTGTATATTGTTTCTGTAACTGAAATTATCTGGGAGACATGTCATAGTTGTGGGATAACTTGAGAATCCTAATCTATGAGTTTCATGTTATTGACTTCAGGTATATTTGCATATAAAATTCAAAAATATTTTTTAAAACTCATCTACCACATTATGTATTTTTCAATTGGTAGGTACATATTTTTATATAAATTTAAATAGTTTTAT